CTTCTACCTGCCATCTGGCGGCGGACTGGCCGCTATAAAGTTGGTCCACTTGTACGGTTACGTGTCCTGTGACGTTAGACATCCCCAACACTGGTCATTTTGGGGGTGTGGTCAACATAGCAGTTTAAAACAAGAGGTTGATGTGGTCATAACAAAATCGGACGACAAACAGATCATTTTGCCGCCAGCAGAATTCATGAAGTACAACCACCAAGGAGGCAAGTGGGCCAGGGTTCCCGGATATGACTCATTCTCCAAAGAGATTGTGCTAACCCCATTTGGCAAGCCTTATCCAGTAGTTGCTGGTCAGCAGCTTCACCTTTGGTACGGTGAGGATCTGCAAAATTACACTGAGGGCGACAACGGAGGCAGAGTTTGTTGTGATGTTTATGCTCAATTTCAAGTATAGTTTTCGTTTTCGTATTGGCCATATTTTTATTAAGCCAATTTCATTAGATGCAATAATCAATGCGATGATCTAAGAGTGAACTCTCTCCTTCAAAACTGTTGTATTTCCAAGTTTTTTTCTTTCGTTCATTAGGCCGGTGTAGACAAGCTTACAAGTTTTTTCACACAACTAACCTCCTTTGAATTTAGCCGTTAGTTGTTGTTACTGTTTTGATTTTAGAAAAAAAATAGCAAATATTATGTAATGTAATTTCAGGCGGCGATGACGTAGAACAAAACGATAAATTACTGGATGTACGATTGGCCTGTAATTCATGAGCAAAATAAATGGGCATTATAACTCATTTTGTTGTTCTTACTTTTCTTGTTTTCTTGTTGTAAGTAACCACGAGTTTATATAAGTATGGAACACGTAGGTTCCCATCCCTTCGAAACAAGACAAAACACCTCTTTTTTCTTCCTCTCTACCGACCTCAAAATTTGCCATTTTGTTATTCCACCCTTATCACTGTTTTACAAGTTGTTTGTCCAAAATAATTCAGCTGTAGTTCAGTTTACTCAATTTACCCAACTAACCTCTTGAATTTACACATCAGAAGAAAGTTAAATGTTTAGTTGAGGGCTAAATTGAGTAAATTTATGAATTTAAGTCAACGAGGATGTGAGATCAGAATATAATGATCTAAGGAGGATTACACAGGCTGCTCAACATTAAATTTGCTGTTCTTAACACTTGGGACATCAACCACAGGACGGTGTCGAATGACATCTGCCATAAGTTAAGGCTGTTCTGAAGATTATAAGACCGGTAACATAAGGTAATCAGAGAATAACTTATTTCTGCAAGGGTTTTCGAAACGTCAGTCACTACTGACACCAGGCCTTCTCAGGACTGATCTAACACAGACTATTACATTCCACAATTTTTTATGTACGTCCTTGCGATTATTTCCCTTCTTTCCAAATTATTCACCTCTGTAAACATTATCACAAAATTGTAAAATATGTCTGTTTTGGCAAAAAGATACGGTCTCTTAAACTGGCTTTGACATAAAAGTAGTTAATTAAGATTTTCCGCCAGCCTCTTTGCCAACACACGCAGCTTCTATAGAAAAAAAAGTTCATTAAACTAAGACTAAAAAGAAAAGGAAAGCGTCTTAACTCATCGTCGTTAATATTCCATTTAAGACAATAAGCAACTTAAATATTTACCTAAATCGTAATTATGGGACATGAGCAACTGGGAAAAGAAAATAAAGAAACTTTCTTTTGAAAAAAACTTTTTTTTCAGAAAAAGCGAAAGGTCCTTTAGAGCTCTTTATCATCGTCGCAGGATAACCCTTCCCCTCCCCTCCCCTCCCACCCCACGGAGTGCTAGTCCGTCCCTCTCAGTCAGATAAAATTTTAAAAAAATGGGAACGTAGGTGTATTCTAGCTACACGAACAATGACTATGAAAACACTCACAGTAAAACTCCATTTTTAAAATTGGTTCATGTTCCTTGAGGTCTTCACGTCTAACATACAGTCAAAAGTTTAACATACATATATGCAAAAATAACAGCTTTCCAATCTCTTTTATAATACCAGATCAACTAAAACAGCAAAATTTACTGGGTTTTAAATGAAACAAAAAAAACCTGCAGGCTTAACGCGCCACCTCCGCCAAATCAAAACATAACAAGGTTGAATTTAAAAAAAAAAAATTCTGATCAAGATTTTTTTTGTCATCATCTGATTATTAAAAGCCAATATTCAAAAAGACCATCCAAGAAAGACATCGACGGTTTTATATAGCGCCTGTGACAAACAGGGCGTAGACGTCACAGTAAACTGTGCCTCTGCTGTCGCTTTCGGTGGAACCTTTCAGATCATCGCCATACCACAAGCGTAACTGCTGACCAGTCAGTACTGGATAAGACTTACAAAAATTGCAAGAGTACAATCTCCTTGGATGAACTTCATGAGCTGGCTTAGTGGCAAAATGAGCTTGTTATTCGATATTTCTACGACAATAATCTAATCAGTAGCGCCTAGCATTAATTTATTTAATTATTTATCTATCGTAGTTTTCAAATAACTGTAATTTTCTTTTCCTAGGGTATCTACATTACCGTATGTTTTATTTTACTGTAAGCGTGTTCTATAAAGGAAATGTAGAAAAAAAAACATTCCGTATCATTTGGATTCGTTAAATCGACAGAAAATCGAAGCAAAGGACCTTGTGAACTTCATAAAAATGATAGTCTGGGGGGTAAAGAATCATTTAAACACTTAGTTAGGTTTAAATATTGACCATTCTCATCAGCACCTATAATTACGCCTATTCCCCAAAGAGAATTGAGGTAAGGAACATTTACGAAAACCTGACACGAATCGTGTCATATGACGTCGCTCTTTTTGCAAGAAAGTATGTCATGACTTTTTATTGGTGAACCCTTTTTGTCGATTCTTTCGTGAATTCTGGTTGGCTAAAGTTGATGGTTTTCTTTCATGCTAACGAACAAGATGGTGAACAGAATGCTTTCATGGTCAACTTTACGGAAAACAGCAATGGCGATCTAAGAAGAGGTTTTAAATAAAATTTGCGCAATTTTTGGGATAGCAAAATTTCAAAAAGAAACGCAGAAAGCCATAGACATGTTTTTTGAAGGTAACGGCGATGTCTCCGTTTCGTTACCAACTGGCTATGGAAAATCTTAAACTGATATATCAAGCCGCGACAGTGATCGATCGCCTCTCCGATCTCCTCTTAAAGAAACCGGTCACTGTATTTATTGTACCGTCCGTTAAAGCTCTTAATGGACTTAGGCCAGGAGGATTGTCCGCCTTCAACTTTCGGTCTCTTTGCGAACGATGCTGCGAAGTTAATACATTACAGCAATTTGTTCCTTTCAGCGATCCTTTCGACTAAGAAATGAGCCGCTCTTTCTTGTAATGTAACTATCTCTTAAAGAAATCTGTAAAAACCTTGAGATTCTGTGGCAAATGATCCACACTTTTTAGACGACCGTAGAACTGTTTACAAATGCACGCAGAAGCCGCGTGGACGTTGAGATCTAGTTTCGTTGATTTCGTAAGCGCGGCTAATCGAACATCCTCATCTTCTCACTCTATACCAAAAATCGCTATTTCCTCAAAACAAAGTGTATCTTTGAACGCGGAC